TAGGTTGTAGCAACAGTAAAACAACACCTAATTTCAGTGAGGCTGGGCTAGCTAGCGGCATTGCTACTCGCATGATAATTCAACCACTTGATGTGTTAAAGATTCGATTCCAACTGCAAGAGGAACCGATCCGTGGTAGAAATTCAGGAAAATACAAGGTAATCATTAACTCTTACAGCTTTCCATCATCATTGTCAGTCTTTTGTGATGTCTTCCTCAGCTTGTGTCCTTTATGTTAAGGGTTTGATACAATCAATACGTTTGATTTTTCGAGAAGAGGGAGCGCGCTCTTTCTGGAAAGGTCATGTTCCTGCTCAAGGATTGTCTGCTATGTACGGATTAGTTCAGTTCTCCAGTTTCGAATTCCTTTCGAGACAGGTACGTCAAACGTGGAATCGCTAAACGTTCCATTCTGATTTTTGAAGGTTGGTAGACGTCTACCTCCTGGGAGCGCTTCACTAAGATCCTCCGCGGATTTCGTATGTGGCGGCTTATCAGGATGTCTTGCCATGACCTCTGCAATGCCTCTAGATGTCATACGTACAAGACTAGTTGCGCAGTGTGGAAATGCTGTTTACAGAGGTATTCATTGCGGATATTTGTCTTGGGAATGTAGATTTATTTCTATTTTTCAGGCACAACTCATGCAATCTTTTATATCTGGAAGAAGGAAGGTGTTCTTGGATATTTCCGAGGATGGACTCCCAGCATAGCGCAAATAGCTCCCTTCACAGGACTCCAGTTTGCCCTCTACAATCTGTTTGTTGATTTATGGCCTAAATTAGTGAATCATCATGAATCTACGGGATCACTGGTTTCCGGTGCAATGGCTGGCACTGTTGCCAAAACGGTATGTTTTGCTAATATTTCAGCTAATGTTATAGAAATTCCATCTCATCTTGATTTCTCCACCTTTCAACGATATCCGTTCATTGTTAGAAGATAAATTGTCACTATCTCAGAAGGCAGTCTGACATTCCTGTTTTATCGGAATTTAGCATTCATTTATACCTTGGTCAAATGAAATTGTGGGCACAAATCATACTTATCAGACTTCCTCCAGTAGCATTTCATCGTACACTCTGAAATGCATGAACGTGAAGTTCACAAATGTATGATAGGCCTCCCGGTATAGATATGCTGCATTCATTATCATGTTTCTTTGCATCTAGAAGATGTTGATATTCTAAATACAGAGCATATCTTTGGTTCAGTGCCTTCGTTTTTCGGAGATACAGCAAAAAAAAAACATGTGAATTTAAAATAACCTTTGCGAAAAATTCTCAAAGATTTTGATGGTATAATTTTTATTCTATCTTAAAAAGGTTCTACAGAATCTGTGGCTGAGTAACTAAGAGATGTTCAATTTGGTTTTTTTTGTGAAGCTTCCTGTTATCTTTTCTTTGGACCTAGATTGATCGTAAATACGATTGTTATCTTGTTAACTGAGAATGTATGCCTTTCCAAGGTTATCATCGATCTTTGCTGTGGCAGCTCCACAACAATTGCAAGTATCCACAAAATGTTACTTTTTTTAACGTCAATAAGTGTAATGTTTATAAATGCGCAATAGTATGTCCTGTACGTCACACTCTTCGCGATCATTATTCTTTTCATATAGAAGCGCGTAAAGAATGACGGTTTGTGGAATGGCAATTTTCTGGTAATGAAGTCCGATACAGATCAAAACTTGGGAAGCA